CTGTGACTTACATACTACTTTAAAGCTTCGGTGTTTAGTAAAAAAAAAGTCTTAATAAAAGTTTCTACTTCATTTAAAAAATATATATACATATGGAAGTTTTTAATGAAAATGCAGCTGTAAAAAAAATTCAACCAACAATTTTATATGATTCATAAGGAAACATTTCTACAAGAAAAATCGTTACTATGCTTTTCCATTTACACTGCATTCCTTTTGTATGCATACCTTTGGACAATCAACGTTTACTTCTTCATTGCGTTTTTGTCTTCAAACTAATATGTACATTGTTGCCTTAAACTACATCTAAATTTGAAATCTTTCGAAGTCAAATAATTATAGCGCTAGTAACTCAGTTGTATTAAGACAATTTCTTCTCTTTAACGAATTAAGACTATGTATTTATACTTATAAGTATACATCCTGTTTAGTTCTAATGAATTTTTTATTTTTAAAATATGTTTCTATATATTTGCTCACGCAGTCTTGCTCTAAAAATACAAAAATAAATATTACTTATTTCACGCTGTACCACGTTACTTTTATTAAATATATTTTATATAATATTAATGGACACTCACCAGGGAAAGTATTTTCAATAATAAGCATGTCGGCTATGTACTTTGCAACTAGTTTAAAAAGCTGTCTGTTTTTTATTCTTCGTTTCTTATAAAATGGCATTAGATGCTTTACTATCCATGGTGCTATCCTCTCTTTACATGCAGTTAAATGCTCTTCAATACAGATCGGTGAATCTGGCATCATTTCTTCATCGTCTGATTCTCCAAACAGTTCAATAAATTTCTCTTTTATCCTTCCATGTTTTCTATAATTATTGAGGGACAACTCTGTCATTTTTGCCTTTAATTTTGAAACCTGATACACACGTTCAACAAACCAAATGCTGTGCATCTTACGTTTTTGTTTAGTTTCAGGAGTGTCATTTTCTACTCCTAACAATTTATTGGCTTCCCTATTTTTCATTTCTTTGTAATAACTAAAACTATATTTCCCAGTATTTACATTTGACGGTTTTACATTATTGCTTTTAACATTAACCTTTGTACTGTCATTGCTTTCAGGTATGCAAATAGAGTCATTGGAATTAAGTGGAAAAAAAGATTCTGTCTCCAAACATATTTTATTGATTTCTTTGTCCACGTTTGCCTTGCTTACCCCTGAATGTTTTTCTATTAATGTCATCAGATCACTACTATCATCACTATCACAAAACATGTCTTCCATATGTTGCAAAAGTGAATCTTGAGAATTTTCATCCTCATTTTGAATATTAGATGGATTATTTAATATTTGAGTATTTGAATTGTCTTGTGTGCAACTAAACATGTCACATTCTTCTTTAATTACTTTTTCATTGACTGCCATTGTATCAGATAGATCTTCATCCAACTTAGTTTTAAACGTATTCTGTTCTACTTCATTGCAGCAGGTAGAATTTACAGTGGGTGAAGCTGTATTGTTGCAACTACTAGGATCAGATATTTCTTTTTCAATTTCTTTTATATTTGTTGCGTCTTCTTCTTCCTTGAGAGGCAAGTCTTCTTGTTCCTCAAAAGACAATTCTTCACAATTGGATGTAATACAAATACTTTGAATGTTATCAATTTTCTCCAATTCTGCCCATGAATTAATAGTCTGAACACCAACATCTACTTTGTTTGGTGGAGTTTCTAAAAATATTACTAACTTCTTATAAGCTTTCTTGTCCAAGGTATAAGACTTCACATCTGAAATCTATTAGTGTCTTACTTTTTACTGTTAATTGAACCAATAAATTTGCTGATTTACATAAATATGATAAACTCACCATCTTCAACATATTTTGCCTATACAAAGTTGCCTCTAAAGATGATCGGACAGCATGCAATTCCATTTGATTTGCACATTTTTTCAATTGTTCACATGATATATCTTTGTCTTTATCTTTATAGTAAAGAATGTAATTGGCAAGTAAACATTTATGGAGGTAAGAATAATATACTGCACGAACCTGCAATCAAAAACATTCATTCAAATTAAACATTTATAAAAAAAAATTCGAATTTAAACTAATGAACACCAGACTGTAAAAATCTAATTCATTATTTACTAGTACACGTTTAAATAATGATAATTTTAAGAAATTATTTCGTTGTGTTCATAAAACATGCCTTCGTAGTCAATCGAAGAAATTCATCGTTTGGATCGGTGGGAAACTGAAATTTGTTCGTCGAAAGAGAAGGTAACGATATTGACAAAAGATTATTAATATCTTCAAGACTACTATTGTCATCATCAGTATCCACGATGTCGAGTTCGTCTCGTTCCTTCTTCAATGAGAATGATATGTCTTTTTCTTCCATCGTCGTCATTTTATTTCATAGTTTGTTGACAAACATTAACTATTTCAAATTTCTCACTCGACGAGCCTCGTAAATATTCACCGCGCAACAATGTCATCTTCAACGTTCTTGTGAATTAAAGGCATAGTTTCTACTCTATGAAACGAGCATAACACTTTAGTAAATCTGTTCGTATATCAGTACAATAAACAAAGCGATCTTCTGTATTCAAGCAAAGATAATATTTATTATATATACATATATACACATTTGACTATATATACATATATATATATATATATATATAACAATAGTGGATTGCTAGTGAGACTAACTTCATGCGCGTCGATATTTATTGAATCTCAAAGTCGTTTTTTCAGCAATCAATAATGTTTATAAAAATATTATGGAAAAACTAATGTAGATTAAAGACTTCTTCAAATTGATGAAATTAAGAAAAATGTTATCAACATTCACTTCAAACTAATAATTATTCTTTGTAGATATATTAAAAAAATCATTATTACTTCTCGTAAGAATTTTCATATATATATATGTACATATACTATTCATGATCATAATACTTAGGATTTGACGGACAAAAATGCTCGGTACCGAGACAGTACGAAATAATTGAATAATGTACACCTCTATTTTTTCTTTATTATCAATTGGAATCAAATATGTATGTAGTGCCATGATAATCAGAACTGTATTGTGTGTATCTTGACAACGAGTAGTCCAAAATTATTGTTTAGTGTTAAAATATTCCTAAAGGTTTCACCCATCAGATCCACAGCACAAATTGCCATAATTATGTCTATTTATGGTTTTTTAAAAAATTTCCCGTTCATGGGCCACGAAATACTATCACCACATAGCGGTAAACGTCCGAACTAAATTTCTTCTGATATGTACAATACAATGCAGAGTCGCCAAAAGACATTAATTATGACAAAATTAGGGGATAAAAAAAATAAAACAACGTTGTCAAACATAAATAAAATTCAAATACAGTATAATTCCGATTATCGGGCATGTTTGGATCAGGCTGACATTAATGTTTCATTTCATTTCATTAGAAGCGAATATGTAAAAATAATCCTCTTAAGTATATATATCCGTAAACTTTATACTTTTATTATTACATTATTTATTAATATATGAAAAAATGAATGATATAAAAAAAATTACGAAACACAGAATAGAAAATTTATTTTAATGACAATCTTGATTTATTTTTGTACTCTGTTGATACCAGTTTTTATGAGGAAAGTGCCAGATCTGTGTCAATATACAAGCTGTTTCAAAATTTCATACATTAAAAAATGAACTAAAATGCATCAATTATCTCTTGTTTCTGGTTCTTCGTCATATGCAGCCATAACTTTTTCCATTATTTCCCAAAGCTTGTCCCTTGTTAAGTCTTTACAAAATACCTGGAAATTACATAAATAGTCTATTTTATAGTAAATAATTTACAGTATTAACATTTTTAACGATCTTCAATTCTTACATTGAACCAAGGTTGTTGATCACATTCATCCATTAATGGTACTACAACACCATAAATCTGAAGCGATAAATTAATACAAGCAATGGCTATTAAATTTGGTGGATAATCAAGTATAGCGGGTGAATGATGGAAGTCTTGTAGAAGTGCCATACTGGTCTTTGCAACTGGATACTTAGACCATTCTTCTTCCCCAAACCATGCCTGCAAAGACCTTAGATAGTGCAGCATATACTAAAACAAGAAAATTTTATTACATAACATTTTAAATCATAATATACATTGTAACATTCTCTTTTATTAAATTAATGATTACTTTATGTGGATGTACTGGAGTCACTTGAAACTTCAGCATACGCATAATTAAAAGTTCTGCCTGAACAATTGCATCTCTCATGCTCCAATACTGATCTCCTAGCTCTAGGGGTTGTGATCCCCTGTGTAGTGTGCTATAAGAGACATTCATTACATCTCTTATTTTTAGATTATCATCTTTCACTTTTCCTGCTAGATAAAGACAAGTTGCTGCAATCAGCTGAAATATATGAACACTTTTATAAATATTAATTATGCTAAATGTATAAGTCTACATTAGAATTAGTCCTAGAGTTACTTACATAGTTGTCATAGCCTCCTGGAGCAGCCTCCTTTATAAACCTATGGTACAAAGTTGCAGCGGTGGCAATAGTTAATGAGTGAGCTTCTAGTTTCAACCCTGTAATTTCCAAAATTAATCAAAAATTCAATAGTAGTTAAAATGGAGATTCTCTACCATTTATATAGAAAATACCTACCACACTCAAAAATAAATCTTGAAACTGTGAAACTGTCACTACTTTTAGTATAATCAATTGTAATACTTTTTTGTAGAGTATTCCTTTTTTCCCTTTGCATGGCCAACACATCAATAACATCTTTCATTTTGGAACTGTAAATTTATAGATTATTAATATGAAATTGAAAGGATTATATACTTTTATACTTTATTAAAATTGTTATAAATTTTACAGAAAGAATTCATATTCCATCGAAGTTATTGCAGAAGTGAGTTTTACGAATTGTGAACTGGCACATTATACAAAATTATGTTACAAGAAAATTGTATAACCACTTCTAAACTTTTTTAATTTCAAATTACCTTAACGTTTCAGTACTTGTTGGCTCTGTCGGATTCATTCTGATAATATTTTAATCAAATCCCTTTTATAAAATATTAAATCTATTTTCTTACAGGTTACGACAACAATATTTATTTTTCTCACACGGGTGGGGGCACGCGCCGGTATTGCCAACATTATTAATGATATTTCTCTAAATTTGAAATTGGAATACCAACTTTAAAATTGTCAAATTTCTCCAGAATTGTATTCTGTTTAGATACATTTTAATAACATTAACACATGCTTTTTCGTAATGAAATAATCAGCATGTATAGAGGCTGCATTAAGATTCAGCCTTTATATAATATGTACATATTTAAATATGGAAATTAGATTAGTTATAACAGTCACAAAAAAGTAATCTCATTTTTAAATCACTAAATACTTATCAGTTGTACTTACTGAATAAAAAATGCCTTTAAAAGGATTAAAAATTTTAGAATTAGCTGGACTGGCACCAGGCCCGTTTTGTGGGATGATATTAGCTGAGTTTGGTGCAACAGTTATTAAAGTAGACAAGGTATAAGAAATATAAGATCTTTCTTTTGTTTAAGTTAAAGAGGCGTTTTAATCCATTAATATTAAGTATCATTATAAGTTTTATTTGAAATCAATTATGTGTACTATGTTCGTAAGATTTTGTTTCTATGTTCTTTGTAATACTAAAATAGTAATCTATCATTTGTTTTTTTACAGACTAATGCACGTACAATAATCCCTGATTGCCTTAGTCATGGAAAAAGATCAATCGCATTGAATCTAAAAAATGAGAAGGGTATTGAAATTTTTAAAAAATTGAGCAATCAATGTGACGTAATTATAGATCCGTACAGACCTGGTTTGTACTTTTCAATATTCATTTTATAACTTGTACCATATCTGTTATCTTAAGCTACAAAAATTAATAAAATAATACTGGTTTATTAGGTGTAATGGAGAAACTAAAATTAGGTCCTCAAGATCTTATGAAAATAAATAAGAGATTAATATATGCTAGATTAACAGGATTTGGTCAAAAAGGACCATATGCAGATATGGCTGGTCATGATATTAATTATTTAGGCTTATCTGGTAAGAGAAAGTTTTATTGATGCAACGCTTTGATTTCTATGTTAAATTGTATTACATTAGTTTTATTGAAATCTAGGTTTATTATCTTTACTTGGTCGTTTTAATGAAAAACCAACACCACCATTAAATCTTGTTGCTGATTTTGGTGGTGGTGGATTAATGTGTGCTTTTGGAATAGTATTAGCAGTATTAGAACGTAACAAAAATAATATTGGTCAAGTGATTGATGCATCAATGGTAGATGGATCAGCATATTTAGGAAGCTGGTTTTTTAGAACCCAAAATATAACTCAATTGTGGGAAAACCCACGTGGTAAAAATATGTAAGTATTTTTAGATTAGCATTTTGTTTACCTCACTTTACAATTTTGTAAATAAACCATACCTGTTATACTTTCAAATAGGCTAGATAGTGGGTCACATTTTTATGATACCTATGAAACAAAAGATAAAAAATATATGTGTGTTGGCGCAATTGAGCCACAATTTTATAACATATTTTTGGAGAAACTTGGTCTATCAGAAGCTGAAATGCCACAGTTTGACAAATTTGAAGAAAATCGAATGAAATTAGAAAAAATATTTAAGGAAAAAGATCAAACTGAGTGGTGTGCTATATTTGATGGCCTAGATGCATGTGTAACTCCTGTTTTAGATTTAAAAGAAGTTACACATCATGTACATAACAGAGAAAGAAATACATTTACAACATTGAAAGATGATTTAGTTGTTCCAAATCCTGCACCACGTTTATCTTCCACTTCTGGGAAGTCAAAGGTACATGAAAAAATTCCTGAACCAGGTGAGCATACCACAGAGATTCTAACAGAATTAAATTTTAATCGCAACGAAATTTCTGATTTGATAAAAAATGGAATTGTTGAACAAGGAATGACTCAATCTAAGCTTTAAATATTTAAAAGTTTATTGTTTGTCATGATATATTGCTGTTTATATAAAGAAAAGAGAATTTGTCTTTGTAATATATAATTTCTAATATATTTTATATTTTTATAAACATGTTATTACTGCTGGAATATTTTATTATAAATGTTATTTAAATACATCATTTTTAAAATAGTATGAATTGGTTTATTTATTAAAATATTAATACAAAAATAATTTAAATAGAACTTAATAACAACCACATCTATTAATGACCATATTCTGATACTTTTTTAGGACAACATTATTGTCATCTAAAAAATATAGTACTGATATTGGTGACAGTTTTGTTGGCACACAACAAGGTTTTGGTATTTCTCTTGATTTCAGAAGATGCATTAAAGCCTGCACAATGGCATGATTAGTTGCATTCATATGAATGTTCAATGGAAAATTGCACTCCCCACTGCAATAATAAGCATCATATCCTTCTGGGGCAATAATCCAATCTTGCCATTGTAAGTCTTTGAAGCTAATATATAAACTTTTCATATTACATGAATATCCTTTTTTATGATTACCAAAATCGGTGTATGGATTATTCTTAGCATTTATGATACCGAAATCCAATTTTTTAAATTGATCTCTTCTTTGTCTTTGTAATACATTGTGCTTAATTTGCTTTTCGGCATTTTTGAAGAAACCAACCATAAATGGTTGCTTATCTGGAACTCCTGAAACACCTACAATTCCTATATCATCTGGTCTCAAAATGTGGCCGATATAATCAGCATCATGCACTGCTACAAATAAACCCCGATTTTCTTTTGGATTTCCAACCCAATATTCAAGTACTTGGCTAATATTTAAAGTTATCCATCCTTCTTTATTTGTTGTAGTATTGACGGAGTTTATATAATGTTTGACTCGTCTACCATTTTTGGTTTTAGCCACCCTGTGTAATGCTATTGTATAACTCTTATTATAGTCAAAACGTTGTTCCAGGCTCTGATAAAGACGTAGTTCAGCTGAGATTATATGTTCCCCCCATGGAACTTCTGATACATCAAACCAAATTCGTTTCCCTCTATTCATTTTGGATGCATTCCCTGAATGTGGATTATGTGCACCAAAAGTCATAATGAAGTCACTCTGATCAATAATATTAATATCATAACCATTTTTATCAAATTCTTCCATGTCTTCATATTTGTCATAAAATGATTTGTTGTCTTCATTAGATAAAACATTTTTATAAATATTTAGTAGAAATTTGGGTGCAGATCTTTTTACTAATAAAGCTCTTCGTTCAATTCTCTTTGGTTTCTTAGGTAGTCCTAGAATGTTTAACAAGTTATATTCTATTTCCCGTTTTTGTTTAATATTGACAACTTGGTGTAATATTGTTTGATCAAGTCCATTGTCCATGTATAATCCACTTGGTCTCTCAGAATTTGTTACAAATATTATTACTAGAAGAAATATAATAATAATAATATATTTTTTACACATTCTAATTTCTTTAAACACTAGAGCTATGTCTCACTTTATGCATTCATATTCCTTAATCTCGTAATTCGTCTGATAATGTCTACAAAAAATTTTGTTTACATCAAATGAAAGACTTTCGTTAGGAGATGTCTATTTGTATACAAAGTAACTGGCAGTTCTAATGTCAGTACTATTGCTGTTAGTGAGTACTGTTTATCTTTAACAATTTACCAGTTGTACAAATTCAACAGAATAAATAATAAAATAAAGTTTCAAGCATTAAAAGATAATATATTGAATATAATTATTAAGGCTGACAGGACAATAAATAGTATAAGGTGGTAATGTACAGTTTTATTATAAATATTGAATATGCGTCATAATCTATACCAACAAGTATAAAGCATATTCGTGCAATATTGTGATATTATTTATGAGGCGGTGATGGTAGTTTTGTAGGTTGATCCTGACGTGTTACTCGTTCAACAGGATGGGCAGATGCCGGTTTTATCGATAGCAGAGAGCCAAATAAAACGTGTTGAATAACAGGAAATTTTGCAAGAACCTGATAATTAAAGTGTAATATGTATAATTACATACATTAATTTATTACTGCCATTAAATTTTAATGACAGTAATTAATATTTACCTCTGCTTTGTACATTTTAATAAGACCACTATTTACTTTGACCCATGATGAAACTGCACTAACATTCCATAATTGATTTGAATGTTCAGCAAAGGGACCAATTTTGACCTACAAATTGTATACATATTTATTATTTATCTGTATTAATTTATTGTTGATAATATACTCGTGTAAACTATTTACACAAGTGTTTTAGAAGTATATATAAACCTTTGAAATGAATTCAATGCAACCAAGAAACATGTATTTCTTGCTATGTGCTTCAACAATTTCTGGATTAACAAAGTGACGTGGTTCTAATTGAGGATGTCCTAAAATATTAACACATTATAAGAAAATATATCTTTACGAATTATTGATAATTTCTAACAAAGATATAAAAATCAGGAAACTACCAATCAATTGTGCACTTCCCCATATGAAAGGAACAAATTGATAGTCATCCAAACTCCACACACCATGACTACCTGCTGGTTCCATTCGGTACGTTATTTGTAATCTACGTACCAATTCAAGGTATCTTGAAAAGAAGGAAAGATTTATGACATATAATGTTAAATACTATGTGTAATATGAAAAGCATGTTACCGATTAAATATTTTTACAACTACAGCAACTTTGTCATCTTGTCTAAATGCACCAATTTTAAACATGCAACACAGGAACATTAGGAATGCCATTTCATGGCCTGTACCATAATCTATACGTGTTGGATTACCAAAACTCTCATTCAAATACTGAATTATTTCTGGGACTGCTCTATGTAATTCTTTTGGTAATACTTTATGCAATTCATCCATCCCATTCTGGAATATTACAATGTAAATACTTATAAATTGCTATAACTGAACAATTTGTATATAGAAATGATGAATATTTACCTGCTGGAGCCTTTCATACCAAATTCTAAATGACTTATTGCCAAAGCGTTGAGGTTGATCAGTTGGAGGTATTTGAGTTATCCAATTATCAAATACGTTAAGCATTGCAATTACATTACCTATCACAGGACTTTGAGGGCATTCAACATTCACAGCTTTTCCTTGAACAGACTCATTTAAGGCTAATATAAATCCCAAGTATTCCTATAAAATAATTGCATCATAAATGTTATACATCAAGGGTTTNTGAAAGACTTTCATTAGTAGATGTCTATTTGTATACAAAGTAACTGGCAGTTCTAATGTCAGTACTATTGCTGTTAGTGAGTACTGTTTATCTTTAACAATTTACCAGTTGTACAAATTCAACAGAATAAATAATAAAATAAAGTTTCAAGCATTAAAAGATAATATATTGAATATAATTATTAAGGCTGACAGGACAATAAATAGTATAAGGTGGTAATGTACAGTTTTATTATAAATATTGAATATGCGTCATAATCTATACCAACAAGTATAAAGCATATTCGTGCAATATTGTGATATTATTTATGAGGCGGTGATGGTAGTTTTGTAGGTTGATCCTGACGTGTTACTCGTTCAACAGGATGGGCAGATGCCGGTTTTATCGATAGCAGAGAGCCAAATAAAACGTGTTGAATAACAGGAAATTTTGCAAGAACCTGATAATTAAAGTGTAATATGTATAATTACATACATTAATTTATTACTGCCATTAAATTTTAATGACAGTAATTAATATTTACCTCTGCTTTGTACATTTTAATAAGACCACTATTTACTTTGACCCATGATGAAACTGCACTAACATTCCATAATTGATTTGAATGTTCAGCAAAGGGACCAATTTTGACCTACAAATTGTATACATATTTATTATTTATCTGTATTAATTTATTGTTGATAATATACTCGTGTAAACTATTTACACAAGTGTTTTAGAAGTATATATAAACCTTTGAAATGAATTCAATGCAACCAAGAAACATGTATTTCTTGCTATGTGCTTCAACAATTTCTGGATTAACAAAGTGACGTGGTTCTAATTGAGGATGTCCTAAAATATTAACACATTATAAGAAAATATATCTTTACGAATTATTGATAATTTCTAACAAAGATATAAAAATCAGGAAACTACCAATCAATTGTGCACTTCCCCATATGAAAGGAACAAATTGATAGTCATCCAAACTCCACACACCATGACTACCTGCTGGTTCCATTCGGTACGTTATTTGTAATCTACGTACCAATTCAAGGTATCTTGAAAAGAAGGAAAGATTTATGACATATAATGTTAAATACTATGTGTAATATGAAAAGCATGTTACCGATTAAATATTTTTACAACTACAGCAACTTTGTCATCTTGTCTAAATGCACCAATTTTAAACATGCAACACAGGAACATTAGGAATGCCATTTCATGGCCTGTACCATAATCTATACGTGTTGGATTACCAAAACTCTCATTCAAATACTGAATTATTTCTGGGACTGCTCTATGTAATTCTTTTGGTAATACTTTATGCAATTCATCCATCCCATTCTGGAATATTACAATGTAAATACTTATAAATTGCTATAACTGAACAATTTGTATATAGAAATGATGAATATTTACCTGCTGGAGCCTTTCATACCAAATTCTAAATGACTTATTGCCAAAGCGTTGAGGTTGATCAGTTGGAGGTATTTGAGTTATCCAATTATCAAATACGTTAAGCATTGCAATTACATTACCTATCACAGGACTTTGAGGGCATTCAACATTCACAGCTTTTCCTTGAACAGACTCATTTAAGGCTAATATAAATCCCAAGTATTCCTATAAAATAATTGCATCATAAATGTTATACATCAAGGGTTTATATATATGTATCTTTGAAAAAGCTTAAAAAACCTAAAACAATAAAAGCTAATAGGAATTGACACAGTATTCTAATCCTTACAAAATATGCTTCTGATTTTTCCCAAACTGACATATCAGCCGGTACTTTGACCGACTTTTTTGGAACGACGAATTCATGATCGGCCGCTTAAACATTGAAAAATAATTGTGTCAATAGATTTTCAGTAACTAACAACCTCTAATTAATTTATAATTCGTACGTGATATTGGTATTTCTGCTCCGGATTCCTTTAAACTTGACATAGTAATACGTCAGAACTAAAGTTTACTTCATCGAAAAATTCAAAAGTGGGTAGGTAATTTCCTCGGTTCGTACACGTATGAAACACGTTTGAATTTTACATGTGCGTTTTAATGTATAAAAGCTTATAAATTGAAAATATTACGATAAGATTCAGAGAACCGCAAAATCTAGACATGAGAAGATCAAATTCAAATCAGTATACGTTTGAAATACGTTTTACAGAAAACAATCTTTTGTCATCAAGAAACTGTGAAGAAATAACAAATAAAAAAAGGAACTGTACGATCTATGATCGTGAAGATCACGACGAAATTTGCGAAAGATGCGCACGTATTGTTTATATTTGTAAATCCACCACGGAGTACTTATCTAGAGGTGAAAACTTTATGTATTGACACTTCTGATATTTATTCCCCAAACTAGGGAAGCTAGGGAAAAATTTAAAGCTCATGTTGCCGTTTATTTACAAATACATATTCAAATGATTAAAAACAATATCTATTTTATTCTCTATTAGCTTATTCTTAAGAGAACATTGGTAATATCATAAAGTACTATACGTACTAAAGGTTAAACTCTTAATAATTTTTATATTCATGTTCTTAAATTGGATGACCTTGACAATATATTACAATGTTCTATTTACAGTAATGGGACCTACTCCTGCACGCTTTATTTACTCCCTAAGCTGACGCACACATCCCCACCATTTTATTATGCATCTAATCTGCAGTGGATCCTGTCTCAGTAGTGAATCCTCAGCCAATCAGAACAAAGAAAATTTCTATACTGCGGCCTGAAGGTGTGCAGAAATAAGACCCATTGCTCTACTATGTAAAAGCGTTATGTATTATGTTCCTGATCTGACAGAGTGTAAGAATACTTCGAATGCTGCAATCCGCATTTAGATAACTGGATATGTGTCTGATTGACTGAAAAATTAACGTAAACATATCGAATCGTGTAATATGAAGACGAGATCATAGAATGTGTTGAAACATGTTTTCAAAACTTTTCTTTTATTCATTTACATAATTTGTTTACATTTATTTTGTATGGTTATGGATGAAGATACTGTAATATAATATTTTTTAAAGTACAAATATGAGTTATTCTCACGAAGAAGTAGAAAGAAAACGTCTATTAGCCTTACAACGTAAACAACAGGCACAAGCAAAAAATAATGTGCCCAGCACTGTTAGAACACAAAACAACATACCTTCTACTAGTTCCATTAATAATGAAAATAAATTATTTAATACATCTAAGCCATTTGTAAATAGATGGAACAAATCTGTTGAGTTTAATACAAAGTTTAAAGATAATTCTTTCAAGGGCAACACAAAATACAATAAGAAACAGGAACGTTTTAGTCCTATAGGAACAAAAAGTTTCTTTGGGCAGACAACACGTGTAACAGCAAAATGTCACATAATAAGTGATGACAGATTTACTTTAGAAATGTCATCCTATATGCCAGTACTTATTGAAGCATGCAAAACAGTTCCAAGTAGATCGTATGGTAATCAAATTTTGACTAATTTTGAATGCATATGTGTATTAATACTAGAAACCAAATATAATTTTATTATTGATTCGTTTTAGATGCTAAAACTAAAACATGGAATTTCAATTTAAAGGATTACGAAAACTTGATGGGAACACTAATTAAATTTAAGTCTGATATACAAGTAGTAGGGTTATCAAGAACAGTTCTTCAGGTATTATATTAACAAAGTATTGCAATAAGTATTGAATAATAATATTGTTTAAAAATATCTTTATAGGCATTTAGAAACAATGGTAGTCCAGACAACAATGTTAAAAATGTTGATTTATCAAAAATTGATGCTCACTTGTTAAGTCAACTAATGCCTTTTCAGCGTGAAGGAATTTGGTAATTCTTATTAATCATTTTATTAATATATTGCAATTATAATAATTAGCCATTTTTTCCTTGTTTGTATAGTTATGGAATATCCAAAAATGGTCGATGTCTAATTGCTGACGATATGGGTTTAGGAAAAACTATTCAAGCATTAGGAATTGCACATTACTTTAGAACAGATTGGCCTCTTCTTATTGTTGTACCATCTTCAGTTAGGTAAGATATAAAAATATATCATTTGGCTATTCCTATAAATTATATTTCTCCCATGAGTATTTATAAGTAATAAAAGTTTGCACTTTCAAATTTAGATATCAATGGGCAGACGCAATATACACATTCTTACCATCTGTACCTGCACATTACATTTATCACTTTTCAAACACAAAAGACTTTATCGATGACAACAAGATTGTTATCACATCCTATGACCTCTTAGTACGAGCAATAGATACATTTGAATGTAAATCTTTTGGTTTTGTTATTCTGGTACATATAAAAAAAGAATTTAATTATACTCAATAGAAGGAAAGAGTATATTTTATAAAATAGTTATATTCATTTATAGGATGAGTCTCATGTCTTAAAAAGTATTAAAACTGCTAGATATAAGGCTGCACAGCGTGTAGCATCCAAAGCTGGTCATATTATTCTATTATCTGGAACACCAGCTTTGTCAAGACCAATAGAACTGTATTCTCAAATAAATCTTGTAATGCCAAATTTCATGGGGTAATGTAATATATTTGTTAAATGCAGTACATATTCATTTTAAGGAAAGTTTAACTGTTAGTTTTGTATTAGATATCAAGAGTATGGAACACGTTATTGCGCTGGAGTAAAAACTGCCTTTGGATGGGACTTTTCAGGATCATCAAATATGCAAGAGTTACAGTTACTGTTAAAACGCACTTGCGTAATTCGAAGATTAAAAACTGAAGTATTAAATGAATTACCATCGAAGAAAAGGTGAGAACTAATACTTATATTCATTTTCATATGTATCTATTCTGCTAATAAATTGAATTTTAGAGAAGTTATTATATTGGATGCAGACTTAATAAAAGACTCTACAAAAGAAATGAAAGAGATATGCAAAAAGTTAGAACACAAAGGTTTGAATGGCATAGAAAGACACAATACTCTTTTGCAATATTACAGTGAATCCAGTTCTGCTAAGCAGAAAGCCATATGGTATATATTGTCTTCCTTCACAAAATTTGTGTTAAATGTAGTTTTTATAACGATCTCAATGTTTTAGTGATTACATTTCTAAGTTATTCAAAGATAAACGAAAATGTCTTATTTTCGCTCATCACCAAATTATATTAGATGCCATTTGTGAAGTTGCAGACTCTATGGATATAAAGTAGTTACAATTTTCCAATCTGTACAGTATAAAAGTATAAGTCCTGTTATTTATAGCTAATTAATTACACATTATAGATATATTAGAATCGATGGAAAGACAAATCCCGAACATAGGAAATACCAAGTTGACAAGTTTCAAAGTCGTGATGATTATTTGGCCGCAGTGTTATCAATTACTTCAGCAAACGCAGGAATTACATTGACAGCAGCTCAACTCGTAGTTTTTGCTGAATTATTCTGGAATCCGGGGGTATTTACATTTATTATTACAATTTTTTTATCAGAATTTTTAAAGAAAAAGAAATTCGCAGAAAATCATTTTATTTAAATTAATGTCATATATTTTTACATATATATAGGTACTGTGCCAAGCAGAAGATAGAGTGCATAGAATCGGCCAAGACGATAATGTTCTGATTCAGTATTTAGTTGCTAAACAAACGGCCGATGATTATTTATGGCCTTTAATTCAAAAAAAGATGAACGTATTAAACGAAGTTGGCCTAGATCAAGATTTTTCTCTTAAAGACGTTAGTGTTACGAAACATAATTTAGACTCAAAACAGAGAACCTTAGATTACTTTACAAGTGCTACACCTGAAAGTGCTACAGGCGAAGAAACAGCGCTTAAGACTGGAAATAAGGAAAGTACAACCCGTCTTATACAAGATAACAATGCAATAGCAGATGAAATGAAAGAATTACTTGAGCTCGGCGAAGCAGATCTAAATTTCTGTGATTGGGATGATATGGAGTAAATAACTTATTTTTCTACTACTTGTTATATGATGTATTATGCGTGTGATAAGCGAAACAAGGATTACAAATGTGAAAATAAAGAATAATTTGATACTAAAAAGCATGTATTTCTGTTCATTTTTCATGATGGTACGAAATTAATGAAAAATATACAGGTTGGTCCATGAGTCGGCCACCATGATGTCTGAGTTGTTGCTAATAATTTAATAAAACAATTTGTCCACAAAAATAACCAGTCTGTATAACGATTTAAATTTACATCGAATGAAAAAACGATCGGTAATATCGGATGTGACACTAGAATGATACGAGATTTTTGAACTTCCTCTAGCGTGTAGTTTGAGAACTGACTGATACAACTTATTTGATAAGCAGCGTAAAAACCGTTTATAAGTCCATCTAATTACAGCGTCGTTCGTGGCGAGTCGGCGAAGAAGCAAGGCTCGTTCCGACTTTGCCGGAGCCGCAAAATAGTTGTCAAAATGGCGGGCGAAGGTTCTGCAAGTGTAAATCTGAATTGCGAGGTCGTTCGCGGACAAACGTTCGAGGTTGGCCCCCGATACACAAATTTGTCGTACATGGGCGAGGGTGCCTATGGGATGGTCGTGTAAGTGTCTTCGAGTCACTTCTCCTAGTTACTGGCGAGAACTTTCAACCGCGTATCGACTGGCTGACAGGCCGAAAGATAAACAATCAAAAACATAGTTGTCAAGCGAATCACTGCTTCTACAATTGCATTCTCGTTCCGCGACACGTATTCATGATTTTGCTTCTGCCCTGGCATCATGTGCACCCGCTGTTAAGCGCTACTCATCGTTATGTATTGACGCCTTTTGGCGCCAGTTTTAAACACGATTGTCACACCCTTTCGAACCCCTGATCACTTGCATGTAGCGTCACGACTTCCTTGTTCCCTGTCCATTATCATTCGCTTATCATTCTTATCAATGTGCCGTTAACGAGATCGCAATTACTTCCATGAACGCCACAGTTACAGTAAACATCTATCTATTGCTGAATTTACAAATTTTTGGAGATATATGCGAGGAGAGTTAGGTTGTTTTTGACAGCACAAGATTATGGAACTTCCTTATTTTTCATATGCCTCTAACACCTCATGCGATCCTATCCTGATCCAATTTTTTGGTATTTCATTGTAATGTTTATGAACTGAGATTTGTCATTTTTGTGGTATTAGGAGTTTCATTAAAATATTATCATATTTAATTCAGTAGGAAGAAGATTTTTTATCTTGACCAAATACTTCCTGTGGTGTGGTCATTAACCGAGGCGGATTACATTCTTGGATTAAAATAAGGGAAATTTATTTAAAAAAATGAAAGAGATTTGTGATTGTGTACTTTGTATTTTCAGATCTGCTTACGACAATGTAACAAAAACAAAGGTAGCTATTAAAAAAATTTCACCTTTTGAACATCAGACATATAGCCAGAGAACTTTGAGGGAAATAAAAATTTTGACCAGGTTTAAGCATGAAAATGTGAGTCTACAATGATTAACTTGCAAGACAAATATCTTTAACTAGCATTGAATTCTACTTTTCTTTTTCACAGATAATAGATATAAGGGATATATTAAGGGCACCTACCATAGAACAAATGAAAGATGTATATATTGTTCAATGCCTGATGGAAACTGATCTCTACAAACTTCTTAAAACACAGGTTAGCATATTAATATAGTAACGTATTACAGATCAAAATGACAACAGATTTAAATCTCTTTCAATTCTAGGCTATTAGTAATGATCACATATGCTATTTTCTCTACCAAATATTACGAGGATTGAAGTACATTCATTCAGCAAATGTGTTGCACAGAGACTTGAAACCTAGCAACCTTCTCTTGAATACCACATGTGACCTTAAAATCTGTGACTTTGGCTTAGCCAGAGTTGCTGATCCAGAACACAATCATGCTGGCTTCCTTACAGAATATGTAGCAACAAGGTGGTACAGAGCTCCAGAAATAATGCTTAATTCAAAGGTACAAACCTGATAAATACATTTAGTCTGTAATTTAGACATAATCTAATGTTATATTTATTATTCCATTTCATAGGGCTATACAAAATCTATAGACATCTGGTCTGTTGGTTGCATACTTGCAGAGATGCTTTCAAGACGAGCAATATTTCCAGGCAAACATTACTTAGACCAACTGAATCATATATTGGGTGTTCTTGGTTCACCATCTGCTGAGGATCTTGATTGCATTGTTAACGAAAAGGTAGAAAAATTGTTTTTCTGTGTATTCATTATACATTCAAGGATTCGCTTCATTGTTTGTACATTTTTTACTTTAGGCACGGAATTATCTTCAGTCATTACCATACAAACCAAAGGTTCCATGGACAACTCTTTTCCCGACCGCAGATCCACGAGCTTTGGATCTTCTAGATAAGATGTTGACATTTAATCCTAACAAACGAATCGTCGTGGAAGATGCACTTGCACATCCATATTTAGAACAATATTACGATCCTTCTGATGAGGTAATCACTCATCTAATGAATTCTGACTAACGAAACTCTATACTGCAACTGAAACGTAAATTGTTCTAGCCTGTCGCGGAAGAACCGTTTAAATTAGACATGGAGTTGGACGATCTTCCAAAGGAAGTTTTAAAGCAATACATCTTCGAGGAGACTCTTCTATTCCAGAGGAATCATCAGGAGAACGCTATGTAGTCTACTGGTACCAACGCTTATACCAAATTCACAGGCGATTAACGTTCGACATACTAACAATGACCACGTTTTAGCTGCAAGAAGTGTGCAAGGTGACCAAAAAGGGGGTGAAGACGAGGCGTCATAATAACAGAAGTGTACTTCATTTACAGTTGTTCACTTGATCGAATTTGTGAAGAAAAGAGAAGCTCTTCGAACGCGACACTGATCGAGAAGAAAACAGGTCGATCCAGCGGTTAATGGGCGAAAAAGAAAGCGGTGAATGAGGTAAAGCAAAAAAAAAACAACAACAAACGAAACTACGATAAAGGGTAATAAACAAAAGGAAAAAAAAACAAAAAACCGCAGTGTCCGCGCATACACACTTGTACATTCGCATGTCTCTACCAGAAGGAATACAAAATACAGTGTTTTTTTTGTTACATTGAACGCATAATATTAATTTGTACAATATAACTTTTATTTATCCGGAATTTATATAGGTAAACACTAGTTGACGATTATATATTGTTGATCACTGTCATACCATTGTCTGTGATTTAATTGCCGAGTGAGAACGGGTGTTCGTGTGTGGAGAATATATACTTTGAGCCACGTAGCACAGCGACCGATGAGAAAATTATGTGAGCGAGAGAAAGAGAGAGAGAGAGAGAGAGAAAGTATATGTGTGAAGAGAGGAAACTCCAACAAAGCGTGTGCTTGTCCATAATACCAAGAATAATATGATGCCTCTCAATGCGTTGTATTGTCATTAAGACCGGTGTATACCTGAATTTTAGCAACATCGATTGATCATGTTCGAATCCCTTGCTTGAACAGTCCGAATACTGTTCCATTCGAAAACTAGTAGACTGGGCGTTTTAAGACGGGTGTGAACACGATGGAACAGTAGCAAAACAAATAAATTAATTAACAAAACATTTCACGCGTGGAAACACCCTATGTACGAACAAAGTATTAGATCGAGCCACAAATAACTTCTGTTCATCTTGTTCAAATTTATCTTGATTTAAGATACTTTACGGTTATTAACAATTAATTTATTCTGCACTCTTTGCCACGGTTAAGCGTAGCAATAATCATTGTTATCACTATTATTTAACTATTATTTAGCACACTTTCGGTACACGCAAACGGAAGTTATTTATGACTAATCCGGAGTGCGCAATTTGCGCAAACCAATCGAATCCTTATTACAAGGATTTCGAAGGAGCGTTGCTTAAATGGCCTCCATCGATTTTAACGGAACTTGAATACACCATAGGATTTAAAAACGTATTCGACAGCTATCCTTTTCGCTCCAATTTCGGGAGTCTTTTTAACTCTGACGAATATTTTTTTAAACTTTGTATGTATACATTCTCCAAATCTGGGAGGGTCATTCGAACAAATTTCCTCAACAAAATTTCATTGAGAGACATTGGCGCGACATCGAGCGTACCGCAAAAGAAAAAACAACCAAACAGCCATTAAGGAAGAGTCACCGAGAAGTATTTTGCTAAGATAGTTTCCTTGCGTTACGTAATCCAGTGTCATCATTCTTATTACGGTAGTTGCGTACCTTGCAGAAGTTCTTTTCTGCCTTTTATTGAACTATATAGCTTGTAGAGGAAAAAGAGTGAGAGAGGGAAGTGCGCGAAAGAGAGAGAGAGAGAGAGAGAGAAAGGGAGAGATACCGCTAGATAAGAAGGCTGGAAGAGAGGGGGCTCGTGCGAAAGAGAAAGAGAGAGCGTGTGAATGGCGTAGTAAGAAAAAAGCGGAAGAAAAAACAAACGTTTATTCATAGTTAATTGCATTCGATGGAGCTTCCAGTTCTTCTGAGCCATTTAATTGCGTCTTGTTTCACAATCTACTGGTATTATTACACTGTTATACTGCCATTATTGTGCGAAGCGCATGGTGTTTGTTTGAATGGTGTCTCATGCGTACTTTTCTATATTTTTTTACACTTCCAAACCAACTTTACACGCTAGAAATACGTATGCCACGCCCATTTGTTTCGTTCCATTTTTGTATCCCGATTTTATTTCTCTCGTGTACGGATGATTCTGCGAGATCGTTTTACGCGATTCCAGATGCACACGTTCTTCGCTTTCTAGTATCCTTTAGGTGTCCTTTAGGACCTAAAGTTTAGGGAAACCGGCGTTTATCCTGCACGCGGTTGCCCGGTTATTCAAACTCTCACCATGCTGGTTCTAGGTGTATTGTAAAATGTTCTCGTTTCGATTTCGTGTTTCTTCGCTCTAAGTGTACGTGTAACGTTCTTAACGATTTCTTGTTTGGTATTCAACGTGCTCCGAATTGACGTGTGTCGGGGAAAATTGGAGCCGGTCGCGCGCTCCATTTTGTACGCGAGCGCGATCGTCAACGGGCAAAAATCTTATCCGATTGTGATTGTGATAAAAGAACGTGACAGAGTAATTGCGAGCGTCGATCGAGGCATGCGTAAGGCATTGTAAAGCGTACCAAGCGAAACTCCGTTACGTTTGGTTCAAGAACTATCATCTGATGCACGACATTAATCGAACGAACAGAAATAATAGAGGAATCTTTGACCGATGCACTAGCAACCGAGGTGGCAACAAATCTATGCGAGATTAAACAACATTATCGTNCTCCAAATCTGGGAGGGTCATTCGAACAAATTTCCTCAACAAAATTTCATTGAGAGACATTGGCGCGACATCGAGCGTACCGCAAAAGAAAAAACAACCAAACAGCCATTAAGGAAGAGTCACCGAGAAGTATTTTGCTAAGATAGTTTCCTTGCGTTACGTAATCCAGTGTCATCATTCTTATTACGGTAGTTGCGTACCTTGCAGAAGTTCTTTTCTGCCTTTTATTGAACTATATAGCTTGTAGAGGAAAAAGAGTGAGAGAGGGAAGTGCGCGAAAGAGAGAGAGAGAGAGAGAGAGAAAGGGAGAGATACCGCTAGATAAGAAGGCTGGAAGAGAGGGGGCTCGTGCGAAAGAGAAAGAGAGAGCGTGTGAATGGCGTAGTAAGAAAAAAGCGGAAGAAAAAACAAACGTTTATTCATAGTTAATTGCATTCGATGGAGCTTCCAGTTCTTCTGAGCCATTTAATTGCGTCTTGTTTCACAATCTACTGGTATTATTACACTGTTATACTGCCATTATTGTGCGAAGCGCATGGTGTTTGTTTGAATGGTGTCTCATGCGTACTTTTCTATATTTTTTTACACTTCCAAACCAACTTTACACGCTAGAAATACGTATGCCACGCCCATTTGTTTCGTTCCATTTTTGTATCCCGATTTTATTTCTCTCGTGTACGGATGATTCTGCGAGATCGTTTTACGCGATTCCAGATGCACACGTTCTTCGCTTTCTAGTATCCTTTAGGTGTCCTTTAGGACCTAAAGTTTAGGGAAACCGGCGTTTATCCTGCACGCGGTTGCCCGGTTATTCAAACTCTCACCATGCTGGTTCTAGGTGTATTGTAAAATGTTCTCGTTTCGATTTCGTGTTTCTTCGCTCTAAGTGTACGTGTAACGTTCTTAACGATTTCTTGTTTGGTATTCAACGTGCTCCGAATTGACGTGTGTCGGGGAAAATTGGAGCCGGTCGCGCGCTCCATTTTGTACGCGAGCGCGATCGTCAACGGGCAAAAATCTTATCCGATTGTGATTGTGATAAAAGAACGTGACAGAGTAATTGCGAGCGTCGATCGAGGCATGCGTAAGGCATTGTAAAGCGTACCAAGCGAAACTCCGTTACGTTTGGTTCAAGAACTATCATCTGATGCACGACATTAATCGAACGAACAGAAATAATAGAGGAATCTTTGACCGATGCACTAGCAACCGAGGTGGCAACAAATCTATGCGAGATTAAACAACATTATCGTTGAAATCTCTGTGCTTGGAACGATTCAGCAAGAAATCGGAGACGATCTCTGGAGTCGAGGGGTTCCCTGTCAAGTCCATTGCCGAAGACGTTGGTAGTGCACGGGTTCCATTGTCTACAAGATTGTTAGCGTGGCTCGGAGAATCTTGCTAATTGATGACAATCGGGCGACGAGGACACGGCGAAAGAAAGACATATTTATTCTTGTCTCCGAAAGGAAATCTCGATGTGATCCGCGACGGCGATCCGTTCCACGAGCTGAGCGTCGTTGTCGAGGAATTTTGTTAATAGTGAGAGAGAAAGAGAGTGTGTGTAGGAGAGAATGCGATAGACTAGCAGGAGCGCAAAACAAAAAGAAAACAAACAGTAGAGGAAAACCGGGGAAGGAAATAATAACGATACACCGGAAAGATATTCAGTGTGAAACACTTTGCCTCCCTCGGACTATCAGATCTCACGTTCTTCGATGCATCCAATAAAATGTTCTTGATAAACACGTCGATGGTGTGTGTATAATTCGCACGACCTCCGTTCTGGAGGTGGGCAAGCAGACTTTCGTCACGATTAAACGCCAGATAAACAATTTTTCTCGCTTATACTTATCACTGGGCTGCGGATCTTCATGCGGCTTCATACGATGGCAATTTACTTCAGCAACATAAACATTCGTTGTGAACGCATAAACGTCCGTGGCCCGTTTATTACTGTTTCTATTCGTCGTTTGTTGTTCGAATAAAAATTGTGCCTGTCTCTGTTCCACTCGAGGCATCGATGCGTTTTCTCAGCGAGTCTCCGTGGAAGCTTAACCCAGATACGCCCAACTCTTTGGCCGTGATTTCTGCTTTGATCGCGTCAATTAGCAATTGTACGAATAAGTGAAAAGATCGCAGAACAGGAGTCATCCTTCCGGAAGGACGACAGGCGTATCTGGGTCGAAAAGGCGACGCCTGGTTGCCTCCGATTCGAACGGTGTCCCCTTTTTTTCGACGACCCGAGGACTACATTGCAAAAGAATGTTGTACGCTCTTGCCTGGCGGGTTGTCCTCTTCGATTTCTCGGCGTGTTTTGTTTTACAGAGCCTTGAAGACTATTGGATTATCGATTCAGCCTTGCCGCTGTTTTTGTCCGCATCGTCGGAGAGAAATCAGAGTGTGCTCGAATAGATCAATTGGAAGAGTAGATCACGGGAAACGGACGAGTTCGAGAATATTAAGAGTTTGAAAGTCTAATGGAACTAATAAGTCCGATAGGGTCTTCGTTCATTTTAAGAAAATTGAAAAGATTGGTTTTAAATAAAACGTTTTTCTAGCGTTCGTAATTTGCAATTCGGATATTGTGGTTTTATTAGAAAGGAATTGTTGTTTTCTACTTTTCAATGAAACAAAAGCAACGCAGCGCGTTCCAGCGAAGACAAGGATCTAAAGCTTTTTATACTTCGTGTCCTTGTTACTATAACCGTACCGTTGACGTCGGCCGGATTTTTAGACGGTGATTTCACCCATGGAAATTAGTAATCAGCCGAGATTATGTGGAACGCGACGCGTTTAGTTCCATTAGAGAACCGCATCGCGACGTCGCGAAATCGAAGAGGAATGTTCATCAGTTTCGCAAACATATGGGCTGACAGTTCTGAAAGTGGTCCCACGAAAATCTGGGAAAACCAAATTTGAGAAAATGAAGAATTACGCGATCCAATTTCATAATTACGTCATTATCGTTTAATTGAAGTGTGAAACGATCGTATTTCTCGGCTCGATCGTACTGAACGATTTCTAAAAAAGTATACTACTTCGAAGCTGCTCGCGGAGTAGACTAATTTACGACTTCCTATGGGAACGATTAATTTATTTAACGATCTGCAACGAAGACGCCTCTGTTGATGTCAATAATTGTAAAATAAGCTAGTTGATTTTGTACCTAGACGGTCAATTGTTTAACGAACTTAAGATTTAATTGAGTGTTTAAGTATGATTCGCATGATGAACGGTGATTAGCGGAAACGGGCAGAGTAGTTCAGTGCTTTCGAGTTGTCTGGAAGTCGATTTGCACGAGAATACAGGAAGAAAGTCTCTGAGGAAAGTACAATGATCCCTCAGCTGTAATTCATTCGCTCCATAGTTTCACACGCGATGGAATCTAATTAATTGTTGAACAAGAGCCTTGAACGGAGGCGATACATGTCACAGACACGTTCAATTATACGGGTATTACAAACTTTAACCAGTTTTCCAGTTAATGCAATTTAGTGTTACTTCATTTCGTTGTAAGGGCAATAATCTGTGGTAAATCGACGATCGACGATCAACTCTTTCTTCCTCGTATCCTTCCAAGTTTCTCTCTTTAACCTATTCGTGTCCTGGAAATATTTCGAACTGCAGTTTTTTCATTAAAACACTTCTGCGAACCGAATGTGCTTGGATCCATTGAACATATATTTTATTGGACTTTATGTGTTTACGACAAAAATGGATACTCGAAATATTCGATAGTAGAAACTCAATTTATTGAGAGCAATAGAGAATGAAATTGTTTTCTTATAATTATTTCAGATAATTTTGATCTTGCATTAAAATTCATATTAGTAATAATTTTTAAAGTATCGCTATTATGTCCAAGCGACAGTAAATAATATTTATAGTTAGTATACGTGTTACACGTGCTTCTCGAAGTATTTAGAAAAAAGCAACGACAATTGCGCAAATGATCCAGGACACGAAGGGTAAAACCAACTCCGCGTGAACTTAAATAACGTCGAGCGTATCAATGGCGGACTGTTTTCCAGCGGAGCTCATGTATTCGAAAAATCATTTCTGCGTGTACAGTGTCTATGTATCAGACTTTCGTGAATATATACACGTGTATGTAATCTAACGTTAATCCACAGTCTCATAGCATTTAAACGAAAACCGTCGAGCGATTAGCACTGCGACATGTTTGCCGAATAATTTTCACGAGCTGCCTCGAGAAAAACGAGGAGTAATTAATTATTGGACCGGTCGGCTGACTCGCGATATCGGTGTTGCGAATCATCTTTCACAGTCGATTTCTTTTTGTTTCGTCTTGTACATTGCTATCCAAAAGCTTCGAGTCAGTATTTTATAGTGGTTATATTATTTTCCGCCGATTAGTCCAATTATGTATTGAACTGCTTTCGATCTCTTCATCCGGTATTTGTAGACACGGTCCTTTCCTATTCACGAATTTGTTAAAGCATCTGTTAAAAAAGACCTTGCGCTTTACAACAGCAGCAACAATTTAAAAAAAAAAATTGAAAATTCAAATATAATCGAATCTCTCGAGTAATATAGTCCATAGAATACTTCAGAAGAAAACTATCTAATCTTCTTTCGGATATGATACATACTATCATTAAAAAAAAATCTGTTCTTCTGGTAGTAAAATACGTTTTGCTTACTCCACAGAATATAGAGTTTTATTTATACCTCGAAAAAATGTATAACAGTAAAACAGATATTTTATAACCGCCGTGATCGAGATAAGCGGAGATTAATGAGTAGAAATATTTTCCATGATTATGGATAATGGATCTTTTAATTGACTGTGAAAAGAGCTAATTACCGGTGGCTAATTAAGCTGATGGATCTGAATAGAAACACCGTTATCGCGTAGAAAACGGGTACAGGATGCAAGTCGAATGCGAGCAACGATAGATCGTAGCGTTTAATATAAATTGATAGAAATCTGATCAATATCATCAGGCCTAATATATACTTAACGTTGCGTGTATTTGTTGTTGTTGCCGGTTCATATCTTATATATTCCGAATATTGAAAACAGATATTTCGTCTATGAATTTTCAATGTTATACGTCATTTATGATAAAACAGTGATACGAAGAAAAACATAAAAAAAGATACAAAGAAAAGAGTGAGTGAGAGAGAAAGTGAAAAAAATAACCTTAGAGAGAGAGAGAGAAAGAGAGAGAGAGAGAGAGAGAGAGAGATAGCGCACGACAAAACGCGTGGTTTTCGATAAAGACAGATGCAGTAATTAGATAACAATTATTAACAGTTTTTATGTAAGATAGAGGAATGAAATCTACGATGTCTTGCACGATTGCCTTTTAGCAAACGAGATTGATATTTCTGAGACGACGAGCAGTGATGAGCAAAAGTAGAGTGCCGAGACTAGTACACAAGCAGATAGACCATTGCAATTAATGAGCTGTTATGAGAAATGTAGACACCATTTTAGATTATCGATACACACACAGCTAGTGAAGCTAGTTAGGAAATGGTTTTTCAATATCCACGACGTTCTAAATAAAGCACGTAGGTATAATATTATAAAAAAAAAATATGTATATATATATATATACATACTTAAAAACGCTCAGTGATATCAGAAATATCGTATCTCGTTTGTTAATGCATTTGAATTACCTCGTGCCTCCAGCTGCATTCATAAAACTTAGTATCGTCAACTGTATTATGTTTGTTTCTAATTGATGAGCAATTTTATGCATTTTCAAATGAATTTAATGCTAAAACTACCGAGCAGTCGGAGTGACTATTTTCTAATTAATTACAAAAACTGAGGGTGTGCTTTCATTGAGATTTGACAGGATTTTTATCGAAGTGCGCGTACAAATAAATGCATTTATTTAATAGTTTCTTACCAAATTTTTATGATTTTGACGATCGTTAGATAAAATATCTAAAATGGATTGTTCCGAGATGTTTGGTAGTCATAGCGCAAAAATTATATAAAAGATGTTTTTTTTCTACATTAGAAAAGGATAATATGTTAGTATAAAGATTCAAAGTGACATAGAAATCTATGAATGCGGCTAAAGAATTATATTCCGATAATCCACTGTGTTCTTCAACGAAAAATCTTTCATTTTTAAATTAAACTTCAGCCACTTATCCGAATAATTGTTATTCGTGTAAATGATATATATTATACATATATATATTCATATATGTATAAATATGTATTGAGATCGTAATTATCAATTATTGTATTTTAAATGACTATTCAAAGTATTATTGTGCTAATATAAAAGCGGCTTTATTGGTCAATTATTCGGAATCGATGTCACAATTTATTTATTCTTAACCCTATTTTAACTTGACTTCAAATCGTTCGTTGACTACCTTTTGTCCCGAAAGATATGTGAAAAAATTACAGTCAACTTTTTGTTTAACAAAAAGTTTGATTATTAGATCGGATCATATTTTTTTGTTTAAACGTACATTTCTAAGAAATCACAGATCTCGAAATATCTCAGTTATTTGCAAAATACGTAAGGAAAATATACTCTAAATGCTCTGTACGTATCGCACTAATCGCGCACAAGTTTATTTTTTTATATACAATCGAGTTTCTTTCTTTTTCCAATTAGTTTTACTATCGAGATTTTTCGAGAGAGAAATAAAATCTAAAATCACGATGTTTTCAATGTACAATTAATGAAATATTTGATTGTGTGATTTCGTTTTCGACAGGATAAAAATCTGTTTTTTTTTTCGATCGTGA